GATGAAGGGCGATCTATCACTGATTGGACAAAATGGGAGAAAGAAATTAAAATAAAAAAAAAACAGTTGAATTTCGAAGACCTATTCTACTCCCCAGTCATTACTCGTCTCACCGATTAAAACTGAGAATCTTTTGAAAGTTGCCAAAGACTTTGGCAAAGTCGATGTGAAAGCTTTGTCCATTCTCCCGCATCATGATGTTGTCGTTGTGACGATCCCCCAGACCCAGCACAAAAGTTAACACCGAGCCGGCAACAGTGGAGTGAAAAAAGTTATCGACTGCCTAAAAGTAGAAAAAAGAGGAACAAATCAGCTTGTGCTCTGTTTCACCTCGCGCAACCACATCGTAGACACAACCAGCCAACAAAAGGTGACACTTATGTGACCTCCCAAATGACGATTCAAGGGATAGCATAAAGGAAATGCCAAAAGTGCAACCTTTCGAAGAGCTTTTGTGTCCGAATGATTTTCTCGAAGCCACATCAACAGCCCTTGATCGCGTTTGAAGCGCGGATTTGAGGCACTGGTTTGGTTGATTACCCTGAGGGTCTCAGAGTCGGGCACCTACAACGGTGAGGAGGTTGAACGGCACATGTGTGTACATGTAGAAGATGCAGATCTCTGGTCGCATAAAAGCATGGCGCAAACAGGTGTGTGAGGTGACTCGCAGGGTCACAATGGAATGCCGTAGCAAATGCCAATCTTACTGGTTCAATGAGTCCGCGTTTTACTTCCATAGGCATCACTGTGAAGTGGGGAATACACAAATCCATCCCTCCGTTCAGCCAAATTCTGTCCACTACGTGGATCAATTGGCAGATTAGGAGGTCCATCTGCAGATCATCTCCGACCTAAAATCCGCGAAAAAAGGGGAATAAATAGATTCAATTAGTAGGATACAGGATAGGTGAGTGAAGAGGTGAAAAGATGGGCGGAGGCATGGATTTAAGGTGTCTTGAGGAGCTTCGAAAGGGCTATTTGGATGAGCTGAAATTAACTCTCGCTAAAGGCAGGTGGCAACACACTCATCCATCAACCAATTTCAAAGTTTTGCGACATTCAAGCCAATCACTGAATGCGCATGTATCTACTCCTTTTCGAGTTGTTCCCTTTTTTCCAACCAATGTCACCTTACATTTGTTTTATTAGACAGAAGGATTGTTTATAAAATGTGACACGGAGCCATATTATATGATGAAAGGTCATAAAGCCAAGCCCTGGTTACATGCGTGTTATAACACGGTTTGCCATAACAACAGCAGTCACAAACACCCCACACAAGGCCCTCCATAGAAAACAAATACAGGACTTAATTTTAGTTGAATTTTTTAAATTGATTATTGCACCAGCTTTTCCAATCATTTGATTGGCCAGACGCTCGTCCAGAACACACGTGAATCTGATTGGTTAATGTTCTGCTTCTGTTTCCGGTGCATAAGTTCATAGATTTACAATTAAAAACGCATGGCGGTTGGTGATGAACTAACCTTGAAGATGCATTTACGCGTTTCTCCATCAATTCCGCTCAAAGTGAGGCGAATTGGGCACGTGAATGAAGTGATGTATGTGCATGCCTCTATCTAAAAAAAGAGACGTAATTTGGCAGTCAGAGATTGGAATCGCATGAAAAGTAAATATTCATGGACAGCCATGGCAGAATGTCGAGCAAAGGGTACATGAAGAACAATTCGCCTTAGGCGGTAACAAAGAGGCTGCGTCTCCCCGCTGTGAATCCTTAGACTTACAGTGGATGCAATAGAATGGTAACATTGCGAAGACAATAATATTAATGCGCTTTTGCCTGGCCCTTTGAATGATAAGCTAACTCTTCACCAACAACTCGCATTCAGCCATGTTTCTATTTTCCTTTCCCATGGAATGATAATTGTATTACAAACCATGCAGTCATCCGACACTTTACACACATGAAAACTCACAAGATAAACCTCTTAGTGATTCTAGCACTAACACTTCGAATTTAATGTTGCAGATAGCCTTGAAACTACCCGAAAAAGAATGTTTACCCACATGACCTTGAAACACCCAATCAGAAGAGAGCTTTGAAAATAATTCACCTACGTACCTTCAAGCTTCGACAAGCGAAGCCAAAATCATAGGGCAGACGAAAAGCATCCGGGATTGGGAGATCGGATGTATTTGATAGCGAGAGTGACCCACCATTTGATGCTGTTCCCTCCTCCAAGCCCTTCGGCTTAAATTGGGAGTCGAGGAAGGTTTGTGTAGACTCCAAACCTTCCTGTAAAGTTTTATACTTCGTTTTATCCTTTGCCGCTTTAACGGCTTCAGCTGGAGGCAAGAGAATAAACCAATTACAGCGGCAAACATTACAACTTGTGTGTAAATAAAGAGGAGAACTCGTGCATAAACAATCGGTCTTGTTAGTTTGTGATAGGCTCACCGGTTTGACGTATGCGACACAGCACGTCTGCTTGTAGACTCCAAGTGGCTTTCAGACGGCTACCATGCAACCACAGGATTGCTGTCTTCAGCAGAACCAGTCGACGTTGACTATACCATTTGGGATTCATTAATATGCTCTCAATATTCCTACAGACGAGGTGTTTGAGACAAACATGAGCTCCTACCAGTAGAGAGCATTACAGAATCGCAGAGATACCGTTGAACGATGAAGAAGAAGGCTAACTAAACCTGACCAATCCAAATGGAGGTCATAATTAACTGCCTGTAAATGAGAGAGAATGACAATTTAAGCAAATTCGAGTTAACTAGAAACGCAATGACAGGTTAGCTAACCTCTAGAAGGCAGGGAAGGTAGCAAATGAGACCATCTGGAGGAAATCGGGAGAGACAACAGACACCCCAATGCCGAAAAAATTGATCTGGAACATCGGGTAGTAGAAGACGCATTGCAGATGATGGTGAAAGCGGTGATGAGACTTGGAGTAGGCTGAAAGAGGTTTGCACCAATCAAGCACAGATTTATTTTCCAATTCGACTTGAACACCACCTTTCCAGCCAATCAAAACGCTTCAAGCTAATTCATTGAGCCCACCTACCTATAGAGCTGAGAAAATAAAAGCATCCACAAAATTTTGTCATGAGCACTTTTTGTGGTTGGTATCGAGGCCCGTCGACAGGCGTCCGGCCAACAGACAGGAGCCGCAACAACAAGAGTTGTGAGGAGTTCGGATGAACCAATAAGTCGATGGCGATTTTCCCAAAGTTTATCAATAAAAAGTTGATGCAAACTCAAATCCGCTAAGAAGGTGATAAATTTGGGCTCTCCAACTGCCTCTGTCGATCGACGTCCGGCGGGTGGAAGTTGTGAAGCTGGTGTGTAGAGAATTTGACTAGCCAACTCACTGTAATGGCGTCTTTCCGCATCGGACATGCTTACATGACAGCTGGAATGGGGAAAAAGAACAAAAATTACCCTAATCCATAGGGAGGTGACGAAAGTAACCGTTAACTCACACATCGGAGTCATCAACAGTCGGTGGTTTTGGGAAGAAAAAGTCGGATGGATAGATTGGAAATTCTAGCTAAAAAATGTTCAAAACAGCACAGTAACTTTAGGAGGATGGAGAAGATAGACGATCACTAAAATTCCTTACTTCCACAACTATGGCATTGTGTCTTCGGTTAGGCTCTGCAAACGTGGATCGAAATTCCGGGGAGAGACCTTCTGCCACGGGGGGCCAGAGACCGGCGAGAACAACCTCTTGTCGCAAACGTCCATTGCCATCAAATATGGGTACATTAACCCAACCAAGAAGGGTCCCATTGGACACTAAAAACATAAAATCACCCTCGAAAATTTAACAGAAAATAGAAAGTAGTGTTCGACGAAGTTTTCTGCTATTAGCTGATTGGCAATTGCTGCACTAAAATGATTGGACGATTCAAGGTCATTTATCGAGACAGATTTTTGAAACTAAAAGGGCTTAGAGTTACCTATTTAAAGGGTAATTTAATTTATTTTACTCAATTGGAATTTGCTTACGTATAGCGGGGTCTTCAGTTTGCTTTTTCAAGGCAATAAGACTAACGTTGAGGAGAGTTTCCCTTGGAAGGCGTCTAAAAGGGAAATCTGCAGAACGAGAATAGATGGCAAATGTTCTGCTAAAGTATCGATAGTCCGAAAATCTGAACTACTGAAAATTACCCAAGAAACGAATCCATTCATCAATTTTTCCACCCGAATTGAAATCGGCCTTTCTTGAGTAGTGAAAGTCACGAAGTACTGGTGTGGTGCAGGCGTATTCTTCACATCCCTTAAAGTTTTTTGGATAGGCCGGGGTTAGAGGTGATGAATATACAGTGGATAGCGGTCGTCCGGCATAGGTTAGAATCACATGAACTCGAACACAGCTGCCGATGCTGGAAGGAGGAGAATTTCCATACTGATAGGTTACAGCGTCAGAGACGGCCTCCTAGTAATTTGCAAGTCACTTCATGAATCTAAACACCCAGTTCTGCTTGGCTAATTTCATCACTCAATAAGTTACAAGCTCATTATATTAGAGAACATTCAGCCTTCGCTTTATTGAATAATATCAGATTTCAAATTAATCAAATGCATAAGTTTGCTTACCCTAAACGCTCGGAGAGATTCCAAGGATCTGTGTGGTCAGTGGGATCGATGACACTGCCAATTCGCATGACAAAGGGCATGTCACACTTTGAAGTGCGGTGAGACTCCCTATTCACTGATATATGACAGCCCAGAAGACGTTCACACTCCATCTCATTTCCCGAAACTATTTAAAAGAGAGGAGAAAAGTGTGCAAGATAAGATTGGAGTTTTTACCACGCCCAACCCAGGACGTCAGTGTTGCGCACTGATTGGTCCATTCGAGTCAATTTTCCGCCAATCATTGATCGATTTTCACGCACCGATTTGGTTGAAGCGTCCGGATGGGTGTCAATCTTAAAATCGTTATGTCATTGACCGCCTACTTCTGCACTGTGCACAAATGAGTAGTAAAAAGCATTTAAAATCATCTGCAAAAGAAAGTTGCCCCATTTTTCAGGCTATCGTACGCCTCCAATGAGGCAGGTAATATAATATCGAGAGAGTGGAGAGATCAACTTATGTACACGTAAGTGAATACACAGACGGAATCCGACCATGTGGGTGGACCTCCGCAATGAGGACTTGTCTACAAAGTTCTTATCTATCTTTGTTCGTAAATGTGGGGGTGTTATGAAAGCGAAATGCACTCAAAGTCTCCTTCAAAGTCGCGATGTCGGTAGGAGGACTTGTGATGTGCTGGTTGAAGTAAGGAGTGAGGACGATGTGAAACAATATAGACTACAAAAGCAATGAGGTTTCCAGGCGTTAGCCTTATCAAGCTAACGTCCTCTATCTCGCCCCTTC